AACATTTATCCAGCTGTTTGCTAATACTCTTTTGTTAAACATGGCAAAACATATCTCTGTAATCCATCCACTGGGATTGGAAGCAGAAGAGAAGAGTTATTTAGACATTTCGATTTTTTTGAAAAATCCAAATACTATTTTCTATCAAACTGAAAATATAAGGGATTTCAATAACAATGTAAGAAAAAAGCTAAATGGTAAGGAAATTCTTTAAATTACATAACCTGTGTTATCAACATTTAACTATGTACATTTGGACATGGATTCTACATACATACGGTGGCGCGAATGTCTTCACTTTAAGATCCCCCTCCTGTTTGCTCTTGACCTGCAGTATTAAAGAATGTTGTTATAGAAGGCGTGATAGTAAAAACGGTTTACACGCGCGCGCACACACACACACACACGCACACGCACACACGCACGCACGCACGCACACACACACACACACACACACACACACACACACACACACACACACACACACACACACACACACACACACACACACACTTTACACCCTTTAGTGTCAGCAGCTTGAATAGTAAACTTGTCAATCCAACTGTCTGCCTCGTTTCTCTCCATTGTCTGCTCGGTGAAACACAACCAGCTATATAAAACAACAGTAAAACGCCAGCTGCACTCACCAGAGCCAAACTGCGCCCCACACATTTCAGAAAAGAGAATTTGTCGATGCTCCTCTCAGCGCCAAGAAAAGCTCTCAGCTCTGTCCTCAGAGTTTTCAGGGTGATATCAGGATAAACCCTGACATCACAGTGATGAAAAGGATATTTTAGATATATGTTATACAACATATAATTATAGGTGCACTAGACATTGAAACAGAACATGAGAAACAGTCAGTAATCTTCAGTGGATTAATGAAACATAATTAAACCCTTGGAGGGAAAGTTGTATGTTTCCTTGAATAGAAAAATGCTTTCAGGTTCTTCAGTTTCAATATGATTAACAAATCAGTATTTGAAAGCAGTAATGATGCAGGTGAAAGGTAAGTACATTTGAAAACTTTGAGATACTGGGACGTGAAGTATTCTGAGGCTGTATAGATTCATCCAACCAAAATTCAGAGAAAAATATGCTGCTTTTTACTTCACAGTGTTTGTCCAGCAGATGTGGTTACTTTGCAGAATAGGACTATAAAATAGTTAAAACTGCTATAGTTTTTTATATATATATATATATATAGATACAGTTTACATCAGCATTTCTATATCTGTAACAATCCAACTGTACACCACCTTAACCAGCTGCAACAGACTGTTACATGTCACAACAATAAATAACACTCAAATATGTGTGTTATTACTCCTTTACTTAAAGTAAATATGTTTTTTTCATGTTCTAATGCAGCATTTGAAGGGAATTTGAACACTTAACGTTGCCATTTAAACATAGTCAGTCAACAGTAATATCTTCTGAGTTTGGTTTCTTGCATCAAATGAAACATGTGCAGCAGTTTCACCTGATGAATCCGGCAGATATGAAGCTCTCTATGGCTTCAGCAGGGACTTTATTCAGCGTCACATTCCACTGGTCACCTGGCACATACAGCACATGGAGCTCTAAGAACTAAACACATACAACACATTTCAGTGTATATTTGCATTATGAGCCGTGAAAGTAAAACTGCATTTGCTTTTATAATTAACTTGTGTTCACTCGAATACATTCACATTCCTGCAGCATACTACGACTTTTTGCAATGATGCATGGATTCCCACCGTACCTTGCAGCTGGCCGGTCTTCGGTCCTCTGGATGTCTCACTGACTCACAGGACAGCTGCATTATCAGTCCAGAGCAGCATGAAGGGAAGCTGATAACTCACTAAATGACGGTAGATTTTTGTTAGGTTTATTCGCAGTAAGCTTTGTTTGTGTCAGCTGTGAAGGCGTGGACTGCTCAGTACCTATCTGGTGGATCAAACACGGTCCCGTGGAGTTTGTTTTATGAGCTTGCCAGTCCTGGTTGCTCTGGTGCTGGTGATGGCAACTTGTGCAGAAAGAAGGACCAGAGCCCGTATTGTCCACAAGTTGCTTCGGTTTTGCAGTTATAATTCAGAATTTGGACACATTCGTGCGGTTTTTTTAATATTAAAGAACCGATTTCGAAAGTTGAATAGGTATGGAAGTTATACCATTTTACTTTACATTATTTTGAATTAATAGCCTACTTAAAAATTGGAAAATTGTATATAAAGACTTGGCGACCCATCTGTGGTTTAAAGTTATCTTTACTCACACACATATGTTTGTTTTATTTTGTTCTTAATCTAATTGACTGCCTGTATAACTTTTGCATTTAAAGACACCTTTTATAAATAATACCGCACAGGATAACAGGTTTAAATGTAATTTGGGTGTCTGACTGTGATAATGCTTCATCACCACTAGAGGTCGCAATTTCGTTTCATTAAGCTTTCAAGCACACTGGAGGTCGTCGTAATTATAATTTTTAATGATACAAAATAAAAGTTCCCACCTGCCAAAAAATAGAAGATAGATATTTATTTCAGTTTTGAAGAAACCACAGAGCTTACATACCTCAACAATCGATAATAAAGATGAGGTATAAGACACATTTTGGGCGATAAATTAACCAAAGCTTTAGTAATGTAAAAACTGCGCTTATTTCTTTCATTGCTCTGAATTTATAGCGTAAATAGTGAGGTTGAGTTCCAACTAAACTATAAAAACTCATCTGTACATCTTCGCAATGGCATTTGGTGTAAATTCTATGTTATAACTGTGGGGGGAATAAAGTGAAAATATCATTTTCATTTAAACAACACCCCCTGAAGGCAGCACCGACTGACACTCCTTTAAAGAAAACCGGAAACTCTGCGATGAAGGAGTGGTCAGCAGGCTACATACCAAAAGCGATTTGTTTGTAAAAGTTTCTTAATCGTTCCTAACCCTCACAATCTTTACAATGTCGGGCTCATCGAGCATTGTGGCGATGAAGAAAGTCGTCCAACAGTTACGTCTCGAAGCGGGCATCAACAGAGTAAAGGTGAGTTAACGTCACTCTTTAGTGTTGTTGTTTGTTGCTAGTTTCTCTTTCTAACATAGATAATGTCGTTCAACTGTGTAATTTGAATTCTTAGGATTGCTGGTTTATTAACTCTCCGGTGTTGTCTCCCACAGGTGTCCCAGGCCGCCGCGGACCTGCAGCAGTTCTGCCTGCAGCACGCCCAGCAGGACCCTCTGCTCTGCGGCATGGCCACCAGCACCAACCCGTTCAGACCGCAGAAGGTCTGCTCCTTCCTATAGCACCAACCAACACACCTGCAAACCCTCTGCCTCTGTGAGTACTACTGCACTCATTCTGCTCAGAAAGCTCCGTCATTTTCTCCACACATTAGTCACGTTAAAACAAAAGCAACACGTATAATAGGGACTGTATACAATGTGCTCTTTCAGTACTATCATTACCTACTGAGAAGGTAATGGGGAAACGATGAGATTCGTACGAACCAACCATTTTTTTTTGTTAAATCGCACTGTTTAAGCAAAGGCCTCAACCCTTTATCATGCAATTATTGTTATAATGAAGTCACTTAGGAAAAAGGAAATATCTCTAAGACTGCACATACAATGTCAAAAAGCACATTATTTGCTTCATTGGTTCTGGTTCTTACACCCCATACATTTGACCTTACTAAGGATACATATACATATTGTAGTTGTAATTCTGTCAAATAGTTATACTATTAGTCTTGACAAGGATTTTATAATGTTTCAACAAAAACTAAAGTAAAAAAAATAACGCGGTTAACCCACCTGTAACTGAGATAATGATACCTACATGTTGTATATTTAATTATCAATGTAATAAGTATTGAATTTATGTAAAAACCTGCAACATTTTACTCATAGCTTTCAAAAGATTGCAATTTACAGCCACATTGTTTGCAGTATCTTAGTCAACTTAAAAAAAAAACATATTTAATTTTCACACAGCTTCTTTTTATGCTCCACTCAATCATCCTGTTAGAGCCCATACACTTTGGGGACAATTGTTGTATCTTGATTGTAGGTGTACATTACTGCATTATCTTCAAGTAAAATTCTCATTGGGTCCGACTAATGCATGTGACATTCTTGCAGGTTTTTGGACATTGTGAAGCGTTGTTGGACTTGCGCTGTGGAATGATTCGTCTCAGGAGCGTATGGGAATTTGCGAACAAGAAACTAACCTAAGGTGTTTTTTTTTTTTTAAATGATTGCCTTTGTAAACTGTGATAAACATTTCCATGTGCTTATATGGCACAATACAAGTCTTAACCTTCTTGCTTGGAAATAACTAACCCAAATCGTGCCTTTTTGAATTGTAAAACGTTCCATAACTGATTTTTGAGAATAAATAAATGTATTTTCCACATTTTAAGTTGCAGCAAATGTGTTCAATGTATCTTATTTTCAAATCTCTATGGAACCATCTACCAATTTCCAGACACCGTTTCACTTAATTCACTGCTCATTGTGTTATTTACACAGGGCGTAACAGTATGTCTGCATGCACTACAGGTTGTGACCAGGAAAGGCTCACATTTTCTGAATTTAATTTGGGTCACATTTCATTATGTTTCGAGATACATTTAAAGGATCCATTAATGAGTTTCACACACAGGTCAAATTGTTCAGGTTGTGTCCATGTGGAGGGCTGCATTTATCCTCTGGTTGTCTGCCAATGTGTGAAAGTCTTTACAACAGGCAGCTGTCCCACACTTGGTATGCAGACACAGCTTTATACGGTAAAGGTCCCTTTCAGGACAAGTGTGAATCTAGCATGATGTGATCTCATTAAATCCAGTGATCAAAGCTGCACATCAAAGTAAATGGTTGTCCACAAAGAACCGGATATCCACTATAAAGTCCATTTGTCACAAATGGTAGTAATTTATTGGATAATATACACGGCCGTCCTTTCCTGACCCAAAGCGCTGGATGTTATTTTGCACTTAAATCTGGAATTTCCTTCTGCAGGCATCCATCTCATGGCGCTGGAAACAAAAAAAAAGAGGTATTTTTAGCTTTACAGAAAGAGACTGGGACAGTACACCTATTTTACCTCTCATTTTCAAGTCATTGAAGTTCATTGCAATCCTTTATGAATAACGGAAAACCTGGCAGCAAATCAGTCTACCAAATGTATTCAAACATCAATACCAAGCAGATGGCACAGAGAAATTTACTAATATTAAAGTGCTGTCTAAGTTTCACTATAACAGCTATTTTTCAAATAAAAGTAAAGACTGAGAGACTAACCTTAAGGACCCACTCATACTCCCCAAACTTTGAGTCAAAGGTGCCTTTCTGGAGAGAGCGGAGTTTGAGAGTGAAGCGAGGGCCGAGCTCTTGAATACCAACCTTCTTCTCATTCTTGAAGATGTACCTTCAGAAATACAAATAATTGTTTATTAGACACTCTAAATTTAAGATGCACTGGCTTGAAAAAATACAAAAAAAAGTAATGTGTCATACAGGGTTCATAGCATACACTTTTTCACCAATGATTTTCCATGACCAAAAACATTACTCTC